TAGGAAAGTGTAATGCGCTTGGGGTTTAATGTTCAGCTCTTGCCGGTGGAAATGTCTTTCTGTTTGGATTCATAGTGTGCAAGTGAAGTTCTAGGACACCAGAGCTCGCCCTGGAACTTGGGGCCTCCATTCACTCAGTCCCACCTCCCAGGATATCTTCCTACTCCCTTGCCCCTTCCTAAAGAATGCTGAAGCCCTCCCCCAGGTGGAGACGTAGAGGTGGGACAAGTCAGGTACCTGTGCACCAGGTCATAGGGTCCAAGGAGCCCATGAATGAGGGTCTGCATTCACCCTTGAGTATCCCCATCCCCAAGGAACGCCTTAGTAGCAAATAAGAACCATGACCCGTCAAGCGAGAAACCACAGAGGAAAGGAAAATGAACAAGGACCCACATTTTCCCTTTGCACTGGACCCTGAAAATTATGTAGCTTGTCCTAGCTTCCCAATGAACAAGTCATTGGTGATGGGGTTGGGGAGGCCTTGAGGGGCTTAGGTAGGGAGAGACAGAGTTACTTCATAGCCACAGGCTCTTCCCAGGTGGCACCTCAATTTGCATGCCAGCTTTGCCCTTAGAGCTGAGGAACTTAATCAAGTTAATGAACTTCCCCAGGTAGCTTCAATCTCTACCTGTAAAACGGTCAATGTTCTGGGTTCAATTTTGTCCTCTCAAAATACTGCAATCTTCAAAACTCTGTTTCATGAATCAACACTCACAGAACGGAATAGAGTTTGTTGTTAAGTGCCATCGAGTGGTTCTGACTTATAGGGACCCTATATAGGGTTTCCAAGAGTATAGGGTTTGAACTGCTGACCTTGTAGTTATGAGTCTGATACTTATCCTACAAGCACCACACCAGGGCTCTGGAGCAGACTTTAGGATGCCAATATCTTAGAAAGACACAATTCAATCTATAATGTTGCCCTTTTTACATTTTGCTTAGATCCATAGTTAACGCTCAAGGAAGCAGCAGCCAAGAAATCAAATGACAAATCTGCTGCAAAAGACCTTTCTAAAGTGTTAAAGAGCAAAGATGTCACTTTGAGGACTAAGGTACACCATGCCCAAGTCACACTGCTGTTATTCTGCTACTTGCCGTTGAGTCAATTCTGTCTCATAACAACCCTGTAAATCTTTACAGAAGCACATAGCCTTATCTTTTATCTGTGGAGCAACTGGTAGACTCGAACCCCTAACCTTATGGTTAGCAGTTTAATGCTTATCCTATGTGCAAAAATTAGACAATAAATAAAGAAGACCACAAAAGAATGGAAGCTTTTGAATGATGGTGTTGGTGAAGAATATTGAAAGCACCACGGACTGCCAAAAGAACAAACAAATCTGTCTTGGAAGAAGGACAACCAGAATGCTCCTTAGAAGCCAGGATGGTGAGAACTCATCTCCTGTACTTTGAACATGTTGTCAGGAAGGACTAGTCCCTGGAGATCATGCTTGGTAAAATGGAGAGTCAGAGAAAAAGAGGAAGACCTTCAACAGGATGGACTGACACAGTGGCAGTAGGAACGGACTCAAACACAATTGTGAGGATGGTGCAGGACCAAGCAGTGTTTCATTAACTGTAGTGATTTAAGTTAGACCTACTCACTAGATGGCACCTAGCCTCTATTTCTGTGGATGAAGTGTGATGTGATCACCTCCCATAATGCAATCTAATGTTATGTTAATGAAGCCATGTCACTGTGGGCTGTGTTCCAAACCTAATCACTTTATTATTTAAAGAGCACATTAAAACTCATGATGAAAATTGAAAACAATTAGTCCAATGGACTAACAGATCCCATGAACATCAGTCTCCAGAACTCTGAGACCAGAGGAACTAGATGAAATAAAGAGATCACACTAGAAGGTCCTGGATTGTTGTTGTTGTTAAGTACCATGATGTTGGTTTCAACTCACAGCGTCCCTGTATAGGGTTTCTGAGGCTTTTAAGTCTTTCACAGGAGCAGAAAGCCTCATCTTACTCCTGCAGAGGATGGTGGGCTCAAACGGCCAACTTTATGGTTCGCAGTCCAGTGCTTATTATGTTATGGATAAGAAGGTCCTGGATAGAATGGAAGAAAATGTGGAACAAAACTCAAACTCATAAAACAGACCAGGCTTACTAGTCAGACAGAGACTGGTGGAATGCTGAGAATTCACCCCTGTGGGCCAATTTTCAGCCAAGCAATAGCTAGGTGTCTAAAGGGGATAACAACACTAGTGAGGTATGCACGCCATAGACTGGTCAGCCATTCAAGATCAAAAGGGCAGCAAAAGTCAAAAGGGTTGGGAAAGAATGAGGAATGAAAACCAGAAACACAGGGAAAAAACGGAATCCGTGATGTCACATGGAGAGGACTACAGTCGCCGAGATGAAATGAGATGTGGATGATGTGTTGAGTATAAACTGATCATCTTCTCTGTAAAACCATCACTCAATTCACAATAAAATGCTTAAAAAATAATTTTTTTAAAAAAGTCTTACTCAAAACTCACTGCCATCGAGCCAATTCTGACTCATCGTGACCCTACAGGACAGAATAGAAGTTCCCCTTAGGGTTTCCGAGACTATCTTTACAGAAGCAACTAACTGGTGGGTTCAAACTGCTGACCTTTCAGTTAGTAGTCCAATGCTGAACCCACAAAGTTCCTTACATTAGACACAGACTATCTGACCATGACAGAAGTAGATGAACTACAAGCCCAGGAACTCCAAGGATTGCAGGCTACTGGAAACTGAAAGTGACAAAGAAGGACCTCCCCTTAGAACCACATTCTGAACTCAGACTTCTAGCCTCCTGAACTGTGGAGGGGGAAAATGTTCTGGTCCTTAAAAAACTCCACTTGTGGGGTTTCTGTTACAGCAGTAGTAGGGAACTGAAACAGGCAGCATTAGCTACATCACAGGAACAGTGAGAGAAATGAGGACTATGTCTGCAGAGTGCATGGCATGAGGCAGGAGCCCGGGTTCGAGCTCCTGACCAGCTGGCTAGTAGGCCCATCCATCCAAAAGGCCACCTCTGGAATCACTGAATGATTTGCTCACTCAACAAGTAGCTACAGAGCCCTTCCCAGAGATGGCAGACTATTCCAGGATGACAATGAAAGCTAAGGAAAGAGCCTCTGAAGTGACCAAGAGGAGCCCCTCAGCACTCAGTTATAGAGGGCCTACAGAACATGGGAACACTGAATGGTTTAAAACTAAGAAAGGTGTGCGACAGGGTTGTATCCTTTCACCATACTTATTCAACCTGTATGCTGAGCAAATAATCCAAGAAGCTGGCTTATATGAAGAAAAACGTGGCATCAGGATTGGAGGAAGACTCATTAACACCCTGTGATATGCAGATGATACAACCTTGCTTGCTGAAAGTGAAGAGGACTTAAAATATTTACCGATGAAGATCAAAGAGCACAGCCTTCAGTATGGATTGCATCTCAATGTAAAGAAAACAAATATCCTCACCAATAAACAACATTCTTATCAATGGAGAAAAGATTAAAGTTGTCAAGGACTTCATTCTTCTTGGATCAACTATCAACACTCATGGAAGCAGCAGTCAAGAAATCAAATGACGTATTGCATTAGGCAAATCTGCTGCACAAGACCTTTTTAAAGTGTTGAAGAGCAAAGATGTCAGCATGAGAACTGAGGTGCACCTGACCTAAGCCATGATATTTTCAATAACCTCATATGCATGTGAAAGCTAGACAGTGAATAAGGAATACCATAGAAGAATTGATGTATTTGAGTTATGGTGTGGGAGAAGAATATTGAAAGTGCCACAGGCTGTCAAAAGAACCAACAGATCCATTTTGGAAGAAGTGCAGCCAGAGTGCTCCTTAGAGGCCAGGGTGGCCAAACTTCATTTCTTATACTTTGGACATATTGTCAGGAGGGACAAGTTGCTGGAGAAAGATATAATGATTGATAAAGTGGAGGGTCAGAGAAAAAGAGGAAGACCCTCAGCGAGATGGATTGGCAAAGTTGCAGCATCAATGGACTCAAGCGTGGCAACAATTGTGAGGTTGGCCCAGGATCTGGCAGTGTTTTGTTCTGCTGTGCATAAGGTCACTAAGAGTCGGTACTGACTCGATGGCACCTAACAACAATAACAGCTGTGTGCCAGAAACAGTACTGAGTGCCTCATACCCTTGCATGTCCGGGGACTTTGATAGAAATGCAGAATCCCAGGCCCACCCAGGAACTGCTCGAGCAGTTTTGTTTTGGGGTGTTGTTTTTTTTTAACAAACCCCTGTGGCATGTGTACACATGAAAGTGGGAGAAACAGAATGTCTAACAAATTCACCCCTTCCCATGTTTTTCTGTAATAAGTCTGTTAGGATTCTCATTTGCAGAGAAGACTGAGGCACAGAGAGGCTGAATGACTTGCCCTAGGGTCATACAGCTGGTGCACTGCGTTGAAGAATACCCCCAGAATTCACATCCACCTGGAACCTCTGACTGAGGTCTCAATTTGGAAAGACTCTTTGCAGGTGTAATGAAATTAAGGTCAAACTGGATTAGGGCAGGCCCTAGTTCCAAGATGACACAATCTTTCTAAGAAGAGGGAAGAGGAGACACGGGCAATCAGGGAAGATGGCCAGGTAAAGATGGAGGCAGAAATGGAATGATGCAGCTATACAAGCCCAGGACCACCAAGAATTGCCAGCAACCACCAGAAACTGGAAAAGACAAGGGAGTGGGGTACCCTGAGTCTCAGAGGAAACCAGGCTCTGCCGACACCTTAACTTTGAATTTCAGCCTCCAGACTGTGAGAGAATACAGTGTTACTGTTTTAAGCCCCCAACTTGTGATTCCTTGTCACAGAAATCCTAGGAAATGCAGATACAGGTAACTCCGCCTTGAAAGCAAGCTCTCTACCAGCTCTTTGGCCTTGGGGAGCCCAGCCTAAGGGACACAGTGAACTGTAGACCCCTGTGGCCCTTGGAACACACCCAGAGCACCGCCAGGGTCATTGCTGGGCCAGGGGTCCTCACCTTCATTCGGAACACCTTCTTCCCACTCCGAATTGCGTTGTCTTCAAAGGAAAACTCGTTCTCACGGATCACGGAGCGGCTCTCCTTGTCCCCAGTGTAGGTGACCACGTAGAAGTCAGGTGCCCACATCTCGAACTCGCGCTCCCAGTTAATGATGGTGGACAGGGGTGCGCTGACCAGGTAGGGTCCTTTGGAGTGTCCCTGGTGAGACAGACTAATGGATCAGGCTGCCGTCTACACCAAGGTCTGCCCCGTCCCCAGCCGAGCACCCTCCAGCCGCCTTACCTCCTTGTACAGGGAGTACAGGAAGACGATGGTCTGAACAGTCTTGCCCAGCCCCATCTCGTCAGCCAGGATGGTGTCGGTGCCCTGGGCCCACGAGAAGCGCAGCCAGTTGAGGCCCTCGAGCTGGTAGGGGTGCAGCGTGCCGCCCGTGGAATCGATGTACCATGGCTGCTTGTCAAACTTAACTGTGGGCTGCAGGAAGACGGGTTCAGATATGCCAATCCTGGACACACACCCCAAATCCCAGGCCATCAGAGTCTACCCTTCCGGCCCCTGCACCTGCAATTCCTTCTGCCAGGAATGCTCTTCCCAATCCTCTAGTCCCTGTTGGCTCAATAGCCCATCAGGTCCCTGCTGGCTCAATAGCCCATCGGGTCCCTGCTGGCATGCCCACTTCTTCAGGAAACCCTCCCTGACTCCCAGTCTGCTCCTACCACATCCTCCCATGTGGCCTTTGTTCTCTCCCATCAGAGATGTCTCCTGACTATAAGCCCAGTTTTGTCATCTCAGCTGGTGACTATGTGTCCGCCCCTCCCACCCACCCAGCTCACATCCACAATGGGGGTCTCTGGCGGCTTCTCTTGTTTATCATCCTTCAGCTTCTTGCCCTTCTTGATCAATCTCTTTGGCAGCCTGGCGTCTTCTCCCAGCATCAGCTCCCTGGGCAGGAGCATTGGACACAGATGAGCACACTCCGGCGGGGATCAGGGTGAGGGTCCCGTGGCCCCTGGCCTTGGTCCCCATGCCCACCTGTGGCCCCAGTAGGCCTGCTTCAAGTTGTCGTAGTAGGGGATGTCAATATCGTCCATCTCCCAGGTGCACTGGTCGTAAGGTAGGTCTTTCCATTTTATCAGGTAGTGGACATCCCCCTTTTTGTCAAAACTGCAACAAAGCCAACAAGTGGGGAGAGGGATGGGCACAAAGGCCGAAATGGGAATACTGACACCCCTCGCTGATGCAGAGGCCTCAAAGGATGCACGAGCTCTGATGCCCACAGTCCCGTGGCCAGAGCAGCGGCTGAATTTTAAAGAAACAAATCACCGAGGCCGCCCCCAAGAGGTGAGGCAGCTTGCTGGAGACCACCCAGGTGGAATGCTGGGATGAAGCAACATGTTGAGGGGCAGAGCAGAGAGGATCACGTGAGAGGCCTCATTAACAGAGATGCAAAGTCCAGTACCCATTCCATTCTCTGCCACAGCACCAAATCCTTCCAGATCATGGACCAGGACACCAGAATCCTCAATTTCTAAACCCTACAGTCTTCATTCCTGCCCCATGGGCCTTTGTCATCTAACTGAAGAAATCAAAGGACTAGAGCAGTTCCCATCCCGTGTGGGACCCTGTCTGTCAAGCACATGAGAATGCAGTTCCTACAGGGGGTGGTCTCTTCCAATGCAGGGGCCTGAAGACCACACCCAAGAGCATACAGTAGGCACTCCATTTCGACTTAATTCTGGCCACTAGAAGGGTCTGGTGGTGCAGCAGTTAAGCATTCAGCTGCTAACCAAAAGGAGAGGGGTTCAAACCCCCCAGCCACACTCTAGAGGGAAAAGGACCTGGTGATCTATCCATTAAGATGGCTGGCAGCCAAGGAAATCCTTTGGAGCAGAGTTCTACTCTGTCACATAGGGTCTCCTGGTGTGGCGCTATAGGTAAACACTGGACTGCTAACCACAAGGTCGGTGGTTCAAACTCACCAGCCGCTCCTCGGAAACCCTATGCAAGGTAGCTATGCGTCAGAACTAACTCAATGGCACTTAACAACAACAACATGGAATCTCTAGGAGTCAGAATTGACTTGGGGACAACAGATTTTTTGGTTTTAGGAGAGTTCTCAGGCCCTCTCATCCTGACCTGACTGGGCAGCTAGGGCCCAGAGGAGAACTGCAGAGGTGGGCAGGAGCCATCCAAACTGAATCCACGGTTGTGAAGTCAATTATGACTCAAGAGGCCCTCCGGGATGGAGCAGAACTGCCCCATAGAGTTTCCAAGGCTGTAGCTCTATAGGGAAGCAGACTGTCACATCTTCCTCCCGAAGAGAGACTGGTGGGTTCAAACTGCTGACCTTTGAGTTAGCAGTCAAGTGCTTTAACCACTGTGTCACCAGGGTTCCTTGAGCAAGTCCTGTGGTGGTGTTGGTTGTGTGCTGTGGAGCCTGTTTCAACTCATAGTGACCTTGTAAAGGGTTTCCAAGTCTGTAAATCTTCATGGGGGCACAAATCCCCCACGGAAAGTTCATCTTTCCCCCACAGAGCAGCTGATAGATTTGAACTACTGCCCTGGTGCACCTTAAGTGGCGAGGACAGGCAGTGCCCTAAATGAAGACCTAAGGAGAAGGATCCATCACCAACCACCACACCAGCTACTGGTGGTTTCTTTAGTAATCGGTCAGGACCCAGACTTAGGATAAAACAGCTCAGGAAAATTTATAAATCAACCAACTTAATAATGGTTCAAGTTCTGGGCCACTTCGATCTGATTCCCCACCCTTAGGGAGTGATCCTTTAAGGGTGTTCTCAACAAGGGCTAGGGCTGGGTAGAAGGGGGTGGCTCTTTCGAATTCTACAGTCTTCCTTCCTCATTGAAGACAGCATGTGCATTCGTACAACATTCAGAACAGCCCTACAAGCCTCTCTTGTCATCCCCATTTTACGTGTACGTGTGTGTGTGTGTGTGTGTGTGTGTAAAATGTCAAAAGCAAGCATCAGACTCGAGTTATTAACATCCGCTTCAAGGATAAGGCAGCTGGAGAACTAGACTCTCCGGTGGGGACACAGTAACCGGGGGGTGAGGGGGCAGTCAGATGGCTGACAGGGGTGCCTCTCTCTCCTGACCCACCACATCCACAGGTGGCTGTAAATCAACAGGGAGGGTGTGATGGCCTGGGGAGACTGAGCTCTGGGGACTCCCCATCAGCACACACCTGTGGTTCAGGACTCGGTGGATCATCATCCACTCGGGCTTGATGCCATAGCGATAGAAGCGCTCTTCCATCTTGGCATAAAGAGGGTCCTTGTTCTTCCTCTTCTCACTCTTGCCATCCTCATCACCAGAGCCATAGTCGAAGGGTGGCGGCTCATCCATGTCGTTCTTTCTTTGGTAGTTTCGATACATCACCGTGTGGTATAGTTCCAGCTGTTCACGGAAGTGGCAGAGGTCACAGGGAAGCAAGGAAGATGTGCCTCCCATACCCCCATCCCTAACCTGGGTCCCAGGCAGGAAGGCCTTCCCTTCCTGGTGTCAGTCCTTTTCTGCCAAGCCCTGCGCCTCAGCACAACTACCCAGGTGCCTCACCTGCAGCTCCTTCACCCAAGAGCAGTGCCAATACGAGAGCCCAGCCCACTTGACAAAGAACTCTCTCTCCGGGATGCCTTCCAGGGGCTTGGGCGGGGGAACGCCGGGCTCCACGTCAGGCCCTGGCAGCCCCACCATGAAGGGCGCCGGGGGCTCTGTCCACCTCCAGTGTAGGATCCGCTGTACTTTGCCCTTCAGTGGGGGACACTGTGAACAGAGACGGTTCCCCATGTTCAGGGCTTGGCTGCAGGGCCCCATTTGGAGGCTCCTGACAACACCAGGCTCTTCCAACAGGCTGTTCCCCAGGTCAGAAGCAACACAAGTGATTCCGGTGACATCTGTCCCATCCCCAAGAGTCCAGCACAGCTGTGCACACAGCCCATGAGCACCAAGGGTCTGTGAGTCCCTTTGGTCCTCCATCAGCCAGTACCTGATGAGAACATAGGACAGAAGCCAGCCCAGCAAGGGGGCCCAGACTCCTAACTACACTCCACCCCACTGCCCCCATTCTCTGTGGGTTTTCTCCTGCCCCTAGAAATGTCACATCATCTTCGGGCCCACATACACCTACGGGACTTTGAGCCCCATGCCCAGCACTCATGGAGACCCCAGCTGCTGCCAGCTCTCCCCTGGGCAGGGCTGTGCACAGGGACAGGAAGGCCAGGTGGATGCCCACCAGGAGTCGTATTTCCAGAACCCTGATTGGGTGCTGTCATTGCAGTGAACCGCCTGCTGGCAAGGGTGAGAAATGTCCCCAGCTGCAGACACCACCACTATGCCAGAGTTGGCTGTCTCATTTCTGAGACAGGGACTTTCCTGCCGGAAGCCTGGCCCTGACTGGACCAGGATAGGAAATTCAGATTTAGTGGCACTGAGTAGTTCAGTGAGGGGAGGCAGCTCTGCCACCCGTCCTGGTACTCTAAGTCCTCCTGAGCATCTGCAAAATGGATCTAAACCTTCCTTCATCTCCCAGGACTGTGATAGGCATCAAATCCCACACATGAAGGCATTCCGGAGCCTGCAGAGTACAGGCCACAAAGCCCCATGTCCAACTTTTCCTCACCTTCAGCTACAGCCAAGACCAGGAGTCAGAAAGAGGAGGAGGTGGACACAAGAGATAGTTCTCCCTGGTATCACTGGCTCTGGGGGAAGGGAGCAGAGAAGCTCTCCCTTCCAAGGCAGTGGGCCTCACCTACCCCACCTCTACTTCCACCCTACCAACAGGATCTTGCCACACAGAGACATACATGCCCACACACATGCATGCCCAGACCCACACGGGGTAGCTGAGGGTCAACCACAGCGGGTAGACCTAGGAGAGCGGAGACCCTGCACTGGGGATGGGGTTGAGAGACAAGCCACAGCATAAGGCCTTCAAACGTCCAACAGTGGCTAAAGGACACAGGGACGCTGCTCTCTCTCCACAGAAATGGAAGGTCCAACCCAGGAGTCTCCTGCCCTCTCCTGGACAGTTTAGCAGTTGTGTGTAGTGTAAGGCAAACCACATAACCTCCCAGAACTTTGCTTTTCCCGTAGGAATGCAAAAGTTGGTTCTGTTGGTACTGTTGTGTGCCATCGAGTCCATTCTGACTCATAGTGACCCTCTAGGACAGAGTCCTGGTGTGGTGACATACGAGAAGCACTTGACCTCAAGGTCAGTTTGAAACACAAGGTCCGCGGTTCAAACTCATCAGCAGCTCCTTGGAAAGCCTACACAGGGTCACTATGGGTCCAACTCCACAGCATTAACAAGGACAGAGTAGGGCTTCCTAGAGTTTTTATGGGAGCAAACAGCCAGGTCTTTCTCCCATGGTCAGCAGTCATTTTGCCACCAGGGATCCTCCTCTTGGTACTGTGTTGTTGTTGTTGTTGTTCCGACTCATAGCGACCCTGTATAGGGTTTCCAGAAGCGGCTGGTGGGTTTGAACCACTGAACTTAGCAAATTCAAACCGACCTTTCAGACCAATGCATTACCCTGCTAAGCCCTAAAGGAATAGAGCAAGTGAAGTTCTTTGTTGTGGTTGTTAAGTGCTGTCGAGTAAGCAAACACTCTCTCAGTGCACTACGGATTGATGCTGCTATGATTAACATCATCACTCATCTCTTCATAACGACTCGAGTTTCTGGAGAGAAAAGGCTGCCCTTGCCTTATGGGACCTTGGAAGTAGAGCTAGGTCTAAGCAAGGTGCTCTGCCCTCTGCGAGGCAGGGAGCGGGGCTCAGGGCGGGTCATAAGTGGGCGGGGCGTTTGGTGGGGCGGGGCCCCGTTCGGTGGGGCGGGGCGGGCGTAACACTCACAGTACAGCGCGGGCAGAGCCATTCACCGTTTGGGATCTCGGGCAGCGGCGGGTTGAGGCAGTGCAGGTGGTAGGAGGAGGGACAGGCGTCGCAGCAGAGCAGCTCGCCGCCGTCCTTGCACACGCGACAGAACTCCATGTGGTCATCCTCCTCCTCCTCGCAGCCGCCCTCCTCCTCGTCATCGTCGTCGTCTTTCGGTTCCCACTGGATCCCCTCCTTCTCCTGCAGGGAGAAGGCCAGATGGAGGCCCCAACCCAGATGTGACCTCTGCCCCAGCCCGGGGACCTCGGAGCAGGACTTACACAGTGGGGGCAGCTCCATTTGCCCTCGGGGGCCTTCTCGAGCTCCGGGTCGAGGCAGACAAGGTGGTAGGCCCGCGGGCAGGTGTCACACAGGATGATCTCCCCACCCTGCTGACACACCTCGCAGTAGTCCTGGTGGTCCGTCTCATAGCCGTCACCATCATCAACTAGAGCAGGGAAGGCGGTCATGGGGGGCCTTGGTCCCTCCCCAGTGCCTGACCATCTCTACCACCCAGTCTGGAACAGCACACAGTAGGTTCTGAATAGCTATTGGAAGGAGTGCTGGCAGGATAGATGCGGTGTGTGAATGATGGAGAGATGGCTCATTGTAAAGGGGAGATAGACTCATAGTGGGGCACTTGTAGGACCAGCACTGGACTGCAAACTAGAAGATCGAAAACTAAACAGGGTCGCTATGAGTTGGATCCGAGCCAAAGGCACTTAACAACAGTAACAACAATAAGGGGGTGATGGATAGGAAGATGGATAAAGGAAGGAAGGGAGGAAGATGGATGGGGGAGTGCAGTAAGATAATAGAGGGGTGGGTAGGTAGGTAGGGTTGATGAATGAATGAATGCACTGTGGGTTAGATTAAGAAGCACTGCCTTCTGCAGTCTCCCCTCTGCTAGTACAAATGTCCTGGAGCAGGCACACTGTCCCTACCAACAACCAAACCCACGGGCATCAAATGATTCCAACTCATAACAGCCCTCGAGAGGAGAGCACAACTTCCCCCCTAAGGTTTCCAAGGCTATAAATCATTACAGAAGATTACCACATCTTTCTTCCACAGCACAGCTAGTGGGCTCAAGTCACCAACCTTTCTTTTAGCAGCTTAGCCACTGTGCCACCAGAGCTGAGCACACCACAGGTCCCTAACTGAGCCTCTCCTGAACATAGAGACCAGAGCAATTGAGGGAGAACTGCCTCATGAAGCCAGAGAGGGGGAGTTTGAGGATGCCCTTCCCCCAACTTTCCAAGGACGGCTCTGCAGCCCCACGTCCCCATGAAGGCCACGGGGCACCCCCAAACAGGAATCCTACTCCTCTTCTTCTTGCGCCTCCTCTTGCTCTTCTTCCCCAGAGCTGCGGAGCACTCAGAGCGTACAGAGGAGCTGTGGATGCTTGCACAGTCGAAGTCCGACTCCTCCCGCTCATCCTCCTCGCTCTGCAGGAGTGGAGAGGCCTGTGAACCTAGGGCCTGTCCCTGGGGACTCCTCCCAAGGTCTATGCTGGCCTGGGAAGAGCACATCTGGACAGAGGCTCTGGAGGTTAATGTTCCACAAGAGCTCACCTCACCTCCCCACCCAGCTAGGAGCCTTCTCCTGCCGCCCAGCCCACCAGCCCCAACTCTCCAGCCCTCAGACTCCTCCCACATTTCCCACCTCCATATCCCTCCCCACGCCCTGCCCCCCACCCTACCAAACTTCTACACATCCTTCAAGGGGTCTCCCTCAAGGTGCCTTCCCAGATAGCTCCTAACTGTGCAGGTCCAAAATGCCTGTCTGCCTGGTACATTTATTAGCTGTACACACAGTTGACTCCTTTGAGACTGTGGAACTCCTCTTAAGCAGGGCCTCCGTGGCTGAGAAGTGCCTGGCACATGGTAGCTACTCCACAAATATTAACTGAGCAAAGCTAGACCACCTGCTTCAGGACCACACTATACCTTCTGCTCCATCCACCATCAAGAGCAGCAAAATTTAAGCCACGTTACTTGTCTCAACCATTGCTGTGGCCTTCTGCAGGCAGGGCTGGGGCCCAGGCCAGGACAACTGCTGCCTGAGGACTAGGGAGTGAATGGGCCCCACACCAAGAGGAGAGGGAGCAAACACACAGCGTCTCACCCTGGTGCTGGAGTAACGCTGCAGCCTGAAGGGAGCAGGGAAGGTCAAGGTTCTCCCCAGCCAGATCCTGACTACGTGTCACCTTCCAAGGTCCACCCCTCCTAGCCCACCTGGACAAACCCCACAAAGCTCTACAGGGCTAGCTGGCTCTCCACAGCTCAGGTGAGCAGCAGGAACCAGGAAACTGAACTAGCTAAAGGTAAAGTGCTGGGAAGGATCTGTTTCAAACCCTTCACCATACAGCTGGGGAAACTGAGGCCCAGACAGGCCTGTCTGTATAATGGAGAAAGGGATGGTTGTGTGGGACCTGCTCCTAGACCTGGCCCAAAATGCTTTCTGCAGTCATGCCAACCTTCACATGAACACAGTACACACAACACTGACTCACATGTTCCTGTTTACATACACACAACACGTACAAAATACATCTCAAGACTGCTCACAGCCACTGACACATCCAGGTCCGTGTGTTCTCAGTGCTTCACACATTCACACAGATGCTCACCTCACACACATACACTCACACATATTCCAAAACAGGCTCGTGTGTACTCATGCATCTGGATGCCTGCTCACACTCACAGTCATTCAAACATAGACAGCTG